TTTTCTTCCAGCATATCTGGGCAATAATTGCTTTCATTGCCCTTCCAAAACATTTCACTCCATGTTCTGGAGGAAAGAAGTGTCTGGGAAAAGCACTATTGCAGACTGTTCGTAGTATGTTTAGAAAGACCGTCCCTAATCCAAAGAAGAAAGACACAAACTATGTATTTTGTACCTGTTACACATGTGCACACTAGTAAAATCCTTGGAGTGGGTTGCATTCTTAGTATGTGCAAACAAAAAAGCAGCAAATTATTACTTTGAAAACAAAGATGGAAGGTGAGCATTTTAATCCCATGGTAGAATACGTTTGTTTCCTACTGTCACTGAGTTGTTTTCAAAGGTTCTCTACGAGGTGACTGGGTGTGCTTGGGGGGGCATAGCATTTCACTGAGGAAATTAAATCCTTATTCAGGGTGCAACGCTTGTAGCCTCTGTATTTAAAATCAACATTTATTATTCCTGGAGAAAAATATCATTAGAGGCCATGCTGTTTGTGAGACCATTGTCTACTAATATGCATGTCAGACAGCAACAGCTCACATGTTCTTTAAGGGCTTGAGTCTTATCTTCAATCCATAAGTGCACAGCACAAAAAAATTGCACAAGCTATGTGATACCAGCTGCAGTGTGCTGAAAAAAATGCAGTTACCAGGATTCTGCTGTCTTCCATGCGGTGTGTTTGGTCTTGAGGTACACACACATCTGAGGCAGTGATCTGCGCTTTTGAGCCTCCTGAGAAAGGGAGTGTGGGTTGACTAAAAGTGGAATGTTTTACAAATCAGTATTTACATGTATACAATTATTTCTACAAGGTATAAAGTGTGCTAAGTGATTTATAAAATGAATAAAAGAGAGATATACTCTGCCCCTAACCATTTCCAATGTTACTATTGACATGAAATGACAAAACAAGAGCAACAAACTCATGGAATGGGGAAAAGGGGGGGATAGAGACTAAAATGTTGTGGTTATCTGAGTATATTACATTATGCTTCTACTCCATCTATTGTTTGGTAGAATTTTCCTTTTCTTTTGCTGCTCCCATTGCTTACTCTGGACATTGCAGAAAAAAATGTGTTGTGAGGAATAATTTGGAGGGGAAAAAAAAGGAAGCACAGTTGGTTGTCTGGAGTTGGAAGTGTGTTCTGTGTAAACTGGGCCACGAAGAAGGTGATACAAAGAAAGGAATAGGGGAAGGAAGGTGCTTAGTAGCTGGCTATTACTGACAAACAGAAATTAAAGCTGATTAGAGAGGACCTTGGAGATGTTTAAGCTTACCACAGTGGGAAAACAGGAACTTGTAGATGGACTCAGGTGAGTGACAGCTGAGAAACATTATCTTAGCAGCTCTATTTTGAATGCAGTTGAGGGAAGTGTTAAAGGTTATAAACCAGCTAATACAGAGTTCATGGCCAGGGTGGGACAAAGAGGAAGGTTTTTATATTTTTTTGGAAACTTGGTTGCTGAATAAGAAGAAGGATGAATCCATCATGAGCTCTCCAGTTTGTGACCCTGAGTAACTGGAAGCGTGGTGGTGTTATCCACAGAAACACAGGAGCCGATAGCCTCTGCAAGCCTGTGGACCGGGGGACTGGGGTGGAAGCAGTTCTGCGCTGTTGAAAAGGAGGCCTTGGGCAGAAAGGGTGGGGGCTCGGCAGCCAGACCTCAGTGCCACCCAAAGTATGGCGCAACCTTATCCCTAGCCCTCAGAGCCGCACAGAGCATGCAGCACTCTGCTCCCACAGAGATTAAAAGGGCCCAGCTTCTGGCTGCTGCCACTGCCACATTAGCAACAGCAATGGTCAGGTGCCCCCGGGCCCTTTGAATCATCGGGCCCTAGAGCAATTGCCCCCTTTAAGCTCCCCCATCAGCAGGCCTGCACATCAACTAAAAATGATATGGAGGGGGGTGGGTTGAAGGACAATACGCTCTGCTTCGGGCTGCCCTGTTGTGCCTTTTTAAGCACTACAAAAGAGCATGCATGTTTAACAAGGCACACACTATTTTCCTAAGGAAAAAATGGAAAAAGGCATTTCCAAAAAAGCCTTACACCAACCTATTGCACCTTTCTCCAGAGTAAACTTGGGAAAAGAGGTGCTTTGTGCACCATGGGATTGTCTACACTTGGAATGTGACAGCAGCACTGCTATAGTGCTTCAGTGTAGCCACTACCTATGCTGTCCAAAACTGTTTTCCCACTGGTGCATTTGGTAGCTAGGTTAATAGAAGAATTCTTTCCTCAACCTATTGCTATCTGCACTGGGGGTTGGTTGGCTTAGCACTCTATAGCGATGTCTATACTGCTTCAATTTTGCGCAAGAAATATGCAAATGAGACTAAGTGTGGTCTATCGCCGTGCCTCATTTGCATAATTAATGAGCTTTTGCACAAGAGGCTTTTGCACAAAAAGGAGCTGTCCATACAGCTCCTTTTCGCACAAAAACCCCTTTTGCACAAGAGCCGTTCTTCCAGAAAAAAATGCAGAAGAACGGCTCTTGCGCAAGAGGGTTTTTTGTGCAAAAAGGAGCTGTGTAGATGGCTCCTTTTTGCGCAAAAAGCGGGTGTTCATTAATTATGCAAATGAAGCTCAGCGATATTCCATGCTTAGCCTCATTTGCATATTTCTTGTGCAAATAGGCACAGTATAGACATAGTGGGTGAGACTGCAAGCTGAGATTTGTAAATACAGGCTGTCCCCGGGTTACATGGATCCGACTTACATCAGATCCCTACTTACAAACGGGGTGAGGCAACCCCGCACTAGCTGCTTCCCCCCAGCAGACCAGGGAGACGCAAAGCTAGCACCCCCCCAGCAGACTAAGGAGACGCGGAGCGGCTTTTCTCAGCAGACACCTCAGCTTGAGAATAAAGGACTGAGGGAAGTGAGGTGTGGGAGAATAAAACTGAGCTCTGGAGAAATGTTTGGCTAGAGTTTCCCCTACAATATGTACCAGTTCCGACTTACATACAAATTCAACTTAAGAACAAACCTACAGTCCCTATCTTGTACGTAACCCAGGGACTGCCTGTATACTATGATTTCTCACAAACTTCTCTGACTTTTGAGTTATGTTGCATTAAGCTAAGTTTCTAACAGTCAAACTCAATACTTTTTCAATCATAGTAGTAAGATATTGTATGCATCTTGCAGGAAATGGCAATTCCATTGAGATAGCTTTGCTAAATATGTGTGACTGAGATTTCATTTGGCTAGTCCAAGTTTGTGACATAACGGGGTACTGGAAAGGCACATTTGGCCAGAAATGTGTGTATACGTATGTGTGTGTATTTTACAAAACCTAAGATTAATAAGTATCAATGTGAAATTTAACCAAAAATACCTCTAAAATAAAATACTCTTGCAATATTGTCCTAGTGCATGAAAATGATTGGAATTTAATTAGGCTTTTTATCATTGTCCAACTAGGGAGAAGTGCAAGGAGAGGAAAGAAAACCTAGATTGTGAAAGTTTGTCAGTTTTTATACTCTAAGATGTTGATAATAATGTAGGGAAATATTTTTAAGATATTTTTTATTTTGGCAGTGCTCTTTTTCTTTAGTTTGAAGTAAATTTATTGATAGGTTTGAAGTATCCAATTTTTTTATCAATACCATGTACTTGATTGTAAAATTAAAACAGTATCACTTTCTTACAATATCTACAAAGAATTTTTCACTGTGTCCTTTTAACATGATTGCCCATGTTTAAAAAGTTCATTTAAATCAGTGCTGCTCAAATGTTGCCTTTTCTTTAGGGCAATACCTGTTTAAGGAAAGCATAGGCTGTATTATAATAAAATATTCAGAGGAGTTGCCAAGTTAGTCTGTAACTGGAAAAACTTAAAAAACAACAAAAGCAGCACCTTAAAGACTAACAAAACATGTAGGCTGTGTCTACACTGGCATGAATTTCCGGAAATGCTTAAAATGGAATACTATTCCATTTTCAGTTTTTCCAGAAAAGGAGCGTCTACATTGGCAGGCTGCTTTTCCGGAAAAACCCTTTTTCCGGAAAAGCGTCTGTGGCCAATGTAGACGCGCTTTTCCGGAAAAGAGCCCCAAGCGTCATTTTTGTGATCGGGGCTTTTTTCCGGAAAAGACTACTGGGCTGTCTACGCTGGCCCTTTTCCGGAACAGTGTTCCGGAATAAGGACTTATGCCCGAGCGGGAGCAGAATAGTTTTTCCGGAATAGCAGCTGATTTTGTACAGTAGAGCATCGTTGCTTTTCCGGAAATTCAAGGGCCAGTGTAGACAGCTCGCAGCTTATTCCGGAAAAGCGGCTGATTTTACGGAATAAGTGGCCCAGTGTAGACACAGCCGTAGATGGTATCGTGAGCTTTCGTGGGCACAACCCACTTCTGCAGATGACTGAAGTATTAAAAGTCCAGATCCAAGAATAAATAAGGGAAGGGGGGGGGGAATGGAGGGGAAAGAGAAAATAAAATTCTATAATAAAAGAGACAAACCGCCAAGTGGGGGTTCTACCATACTGTTGTACTTTGATAACTAGGATTCATTTGTTCCTAACTCATTTCCTTTAAACTAAGCACAACTTGTTTTTAATAACTACTGATGACTAATGATTCCACATGTAACTGCTTGTTTTTAATAGATTTCCAATAATACATTTCTGTAGGGTTGATTTCAATTTTTGAAGTATTAACATGCATGCAGCGTGCTTCGGTGGGATAATTAGAACTTTTTCTCCACTTCTTACTCATCTTTCTATAGCTAGAGGCACCCAGTTTAATAAAATATTAAGCCTCAATGTGTGAGTCAGACACAATAGGATATCTGTTCTTCTAAACATGAATGTGTAGATTTACACACCTAGCTCACTCATACACAAACTGAGGATGAAATTACTTCCTGCTCTGTCATTTCACAAGTGAAAAGGTTTACTGGAAAAAATACTATAGTATGTTATGATTGATTTTTGGTCATTTGGTATCAGTTGTATAGCTCACAAAGTAACATCTTGTTTTCTGTGTTGCAGGTAGCATAGTGTACCTTGGGATGATGTTGGGGGCATTCTTCTGGGGAGGCATGGCAGACAAGGTGGGAAGGAGGCAGTCTCTTCTGATATGCATGTCTGTCAATGGATTCTTTGCCTTCCTGTCATCATTTGTCCAGGGCTATGGCTTCTTTCTCTTCTGTCGTTTATTTTCTGGATTTGGGTAAGCTCTTTTGCTTTCTTTCATTTCTTTACTTTTTCTATGTTTATGATCTTGCCATATGTTTTGTTATATATGGAAATGCACATTATGTACTGTAGGTTTATAGTCTTATTTCAGTGGCTAGAGAATTACACAGTGCACATATGTGACTAGCCCTGAATGAACAATTAAAGGGAGGAAGTGTTGTCTTTTGGCTATTACACAGGACTGGGAACTGGAAGACAAGGGGTTCAGCCTAGTTTTGCCCAGACTTCATGTGAACTCAGACAACTAACAATTTCCATGCCTCTGTTTTCCTATCTTGAAATAGTACATCAAAATATCTCAAAGGTGTGTGGTGAGACTTCATTACATTTGTAACTATTTTGAGAACCTCATATGGATGACACAAGTACAAAATATTAGTAGCAGTTGTTTGCTCCATGTAAAAACTAACTTTCATTGACATTTGCCCCATATTGTGGGTGTTTCCTTGAGAGTATTTGGAGCTCTGTTTGTTTCAGATGATTTTCTTTTGGTCTACATATATTTGAGAGGATGGGATGGTTTCAGAGCTTGATAGTAGGACCTTTTATGCTGCAATTTTAGACCCTGCCTAGGTCAGGGTTGCGGTAATATGAGGAAGATTCTGTAGTCTATCTATATTCTTCCTCTGTTCTGTGGATAAACAAGGACTTTAGTCTCCATCTCTAGCAGTTTGACATCTTGTGACGGGGCGGACAGGCCCCGCACTTATGGACAGGGGGTAGCCCAGGCCCAGCTAGCTGAGAAGGCCCCGCCCCTCCAACCCTGCAGAGGCCGCGTATAAAAGCAGAGGGAGCTCTGCAGTCAAGGAAACTGCAGGGTGAGGGAGGAGACCAGGCCGGACCAGTGTTTCTGCAGCCGCTGAGACCGGAGTTGCTGACCGTGGCTGACCCTGGCACAGAGAAAGCAGCCGCCAACCCAGGGCGGCAGGAGCACACCCACAACCCCGGCAGGTACGGCCTCAGCAACACACTAGTGACATGTTTTTAAAACAAATTTAAAACTAAAGTCCTGTTGACTAACACAGTAAATTCCGGAACTGAGAGTACATATCTGGGGTTGGCAAATGCCTGTTAAATGGCTTCATTACTACTTGAATGGCTCTTTCACAGGTTCGATGTTCTGCTAATAGGTCTGGTAGACTTTTTTATTTTTAAGTTAACTAGACCCCCTCTGGAGGAAGCAGAGCCACAGAACAGGGATTGTAAGAGGCGAGTGGGTAGATATTACGATGCAGTGGTGCCCCAAATTTTCAGGTGCCCAATGCAACTGTAGATTCTGCATATGGATAAGGATGACTTTGGTTTTCTGATAAGACCAAGAACTATCCTACCACAAAATATACATTTCCTACATTCACTTTCAAGGCACCACAAAATAAAGTCTCATCTGCCTTCTGATTTAAATCAATGGAACTTCAGGATAGGAAGATTTTGAAGAGGAGCCTATTCCTTCCAGTGCTTCTAGAGAGAGAGAGTTGTTATCCTCTCCTAAGGATACAGTAATTCTCCATTTCTAGCTCCCTGCTTCTTTCAACAGATGCTAATCCTTAAAGGTACAGTCTTAGACTTGGAACTGGCAACTGTCCAAAAGAAGTTTCATATATTAAAATCATGACACCTTGTAGAATATTGGTACCAACCAATGAAAGATTGATTGGACTTAGCAAAGACCTCTAGATTACCCTTCACTAATGTTCAGAAAGAATGTTTCCACCATTCCTACTGCAACCCTGCTCTGAAATCTTTAATTGTAGCTGTGGCTTGTAAGGTAGCCAACCACAAATCCATTCCTCAGGATGAGGATGTGAGAAGTTGGCTTTTTTTCCTGGCTAGGCATAAACTTGAATCCCAGGCTAGAGTCTTAAGAGGCAGCTAAGAGCCCAAGAACACCACCCAGCAGCAGCCATAACCTTGCTACTCCGTGTGATCCATTTTTCCAGACAAGAAATTTAACACAACAGAACTGTGGCAAGGGCCCCTCTTACCCTGGCCACCACCAGGCAGGCCCCTCACTCCCAACCCCAGAGTTTGGGGGTTTTGCAGCATGTCTCCAGGGTAGTGAGCCCGGTCACACCTCCTCGGACTCCCTCCCTAGCTGCCTCCACCTAATGCTGTTACAGAATTGTTTTCTCAAACCTCTCTCCCCCCCGTCCTCTCACACACTCCCCCAGCTTCCAACTGCTGAGGCTCTTAAAGATCCTCAGTCAGCCGGCAGAGAAGTCAGCTAGCCCCAATCTGCCCAGCTCCCTCCCAGCTGCATCTAATTGGCCTGTAGTTCTCTGCTTTTTCCCTTTTGGGCTGCCTTTTTCCCTCTTTGCAGCAGCTCCCTGGCCTGACCCTGCCATAGGACATTCCGTCTCAAGTGATCTGACTGACAGTAGTCTTAGTGATCCCTGATTGGTTCCTTGTCCCTATGAAGTTTACCAGAGAGTGTTCAGGCAACCATGTGTGCTCTTACCTAGCTGCCATAGCTGCTCTGCTTCTCTGTTTGTAATCCCCTGGTCTTGAGTCCTAGCTGATCCCTAGAACTCCAACATGGACATTCACATACTTCCTGATTCTGGGTCTGACCCTCAGCTTTATTTCTGACTTTGGCTTTGGCTTGACTCCCAGCATGGCTCTTGATCCCAGTACTGGCATTGACCTTAGCTTCAGTTCTGGAATCCATGCTCCTACCTCTAGTCCTAACTATCTTCCTCTAGGATCCTGACAATAAGCAGGCTTATTTATCTGCAACTCTACAAATTAGAGTGACTAATGATTTAATTGGAGATGCTGCTCAACTTCCACAGCTTTTCTAAGAAGCTTTCCAGTAGAGCCTATTTGCAAAGCTGCTAACTGGTGCGCTGAACACATTTTTTCATAACATTATTCTCTAGAGCTAGCCTGAAGTGATGGTACTTAATTTAGTAGTGTTGCAATCATTATTTTGATCCTGCTCAGACCACCTTCCTGGGTATCATGGTTACCAAACTTCCAGGACCAGAATCAGGTTGCATGCAACTGAATTCCTTTGACATGAGTGCCTGCATGGATCCCTACTAGCCACCTTCATCACCACTTCTTCAGAACCTATGTACTGAACTTTGAGATACTAGTAGGAACTCTGAGGAAGGGTGGTATCAGAGTCATATATCAAGCCTACACTTGGAGGCTTGTTTTATATAGAAACAGTCACATGAATCCTAGTTTCCTAATCCCATAGCCATATGCTTCCCTTGAGTGACTAAAATTCCTGAATGTCCAGCCTAGTAGAGAGAAATGGCTACTTCCCTCTAATAGGCATTAAACATGCAAAGGACTTGCATCCTAGTGTACATGGTCCAAAGGCACTTGAATTTAAAACACAGCTAAAGTAGATTGCATTGTACTAATTTTCATTCAATTACAATTTGCTAGGGCATCATTCAGGAGGTATTCCTCAAGGGAAATTTATTAAGATTGCCTGCTCATGTTCAGATTTGCCAGATTCCTGAAGGCTCTGGCGGGGAAAAGTCTTTTCTGAGACTGGTGTCAATCTATAGAAACCATGCAGAGAAAAGAGGAGCTTGGAAGCAAGAGAAAGTACCAATTGCAATCAGACAGTGAAGCAGAAAAGTCAGGACAATGGCTGGGTTGATACAAATCAAGAAGCAGCATAACAGCAGTTGTACATTTCAAACTCTGTCATGTAACATATTAGCTGACCACAGGTAACAAGGCAAATGTTGCAAATGCCATCACAGACCAACACAGTATCTACTATACTTTCACTGTTTGGCTGTGGTCCAGGTTATAATCAGAAAAGACTAGATATTTCAGAGCATCTTATTGCCTTATGCATTTTAATCTTGTGTGGTTTTCCTATTTATCTGTTTATTTCTGACATGCCTCTGCATTTTAAGCCCCTTTGGCAAGTAAATCTGCAAACAAACACCAGATACTTTTTATAGACAGGTTCCTGATTGCTCTGCATTAGTGTTGCTTGCATCTCAGCTGTCGCAGTGTACTGTTGCCAAATTCCATTGTGACAAATTACAGCCCTGCAGGTAGATTAGCAGACACTTATAAATTTCTGTATGTGACAAATAGGGAGATATGACTTAGTTTATTGTTTATTTTCAGAAATCCATCTCTCCTGCCATGGATTGGCTAAATTATTTTTTTGTTCTTCCCTCTTATAAATCCATGGAACAAATGATAACTACAGAGTAATTCAGACATAAACATGTAAATCACTGTTCCTTTAAACTTGTATTTGGTATGCTGAACTTTCATTGAGGTCAACAGTTGACTTAGTTTTCATCAAAACAAAGACATCATCAATTATTTTTAAATATTGTCCAAAAAGTAACAGTTCTGTTCTTTAAATGTGGCTTCTTAAAATAGAAAGCTATAATGTTAATATCTCCAGCTGACTAGAAGACTCATTCTTGCAGAGAATCAGAACCATCGACGAGGGATGGGGGGGGGGGGGGGCATTCACGCCTCTTTCAATTGCTTCAGGAATGCTACTGTGCAGCTCCTTATGACTCCGCAGGCTGGGCGGGGCCATCACCACGCTCCCGGTGATGCTAAGGGCTGACTACCCTTGGCTCCGCCCCTTCCAGGGGTGCAGAGCCAGGCCCTTCCCCTCCCCTCACACACACACAGCTAGCTGGCTGGCCCTGCTGCAGAGAATAATTAGATGTCAATAATACATGCTTTCATTTCTTCCTAACTGCACTACAGCAGCACATGCTTTCATTTCCTCCCATCTGGACTTCTAAGCACTATACTTGGGAAAATTACAAAATACAACAATGCATTTCCTCAGCAGCCTTGGATGTGAGTTCCCCACTCCATTCCTTGCTCATGTCACTGGCCTGCCACAGAATATTTCATCAACTTCAAGGTCTCAGTCCTTATTTTTAGTGCAATATATTGAATTGCCACTAGTCAAGAAAGTTGATGTGCTTCAGGCAAGCTGTACTCCACCAGGATTTGAGGCTTGAA